CTCCGCGCTCCGACTGGTGACGGCACCAGTCGGAGGCCACTCCTACGCATCGGACGCGCCCGGAGGAACAGTGGCACCGGGCCCTCTCGGGGGGGCTCCGGGCGACCTTTCGGCCGAGTTCTGTTCTAACTCACGAGCGCTCCGGCGCGTCGAGTTGAGTTCCGCAGCCGTATGCGCGAACGCTCCCATCTGTTCGGCAAATGGGAAAGGCTGCGTGTCCCGTCGTACCCCGGAGTTCGTACTCGCGGGTCGACGTGCAACGTCCGCCGTAGGGGCATCGATGCGCGCGTCCTCGACCAACACTAGACGGAGTGCAACTGGTCGACGAGCGCGCGCAGGCTCTCCCAGGACTGAGTCACGCGCTCAAACCTTCCTTCGTGGAGATAGCGCGACTCGTCAGTACAGCGGGCGTAGACGTGGTCGGTCACGTCGACACGAGGGGATGTCTGGACATCCTCGATATACTCCGCCATGCGTTCGTACATCGCGCGAGCGCGTCCTTCTCAGTAGTCCGGCGACGGTTCGCGATCCCGAGGACCTGCGGCGCCGTCGTCGGATCGGACGCGTAGCGCGGACGCCTGCATATCGGTCGGTGCGGAGTGGACCGAGGGTTCGGACCCTTCGCTCATCTCGACGCATACGGACGAGGAGGAAATCGGCCGTCTTCTCGGAACGATCGTAGAGTCTTCTAGGTCGGGAGACCACTGTAGTATAAACACTCCCAACGGAGGGGGGTGTATACTCAGTTCTTGCGGAGACTCCAATCGGCGGGAAGACGGGAAGCAACCCCAGCTAACGGAACCGGGCGAGCCCGGGGTAGCAGTGGTAGAGCGGGTAACGGTCGGGGACGCGCGCACCCGCGGGCCGATCTACGCCTCGACGCCCCGGCGCAGCGCTGGGTGACGTACCAGCGCTGACGGGCGGAGGCGGATCTAGGCTCGCTCGCGTGCTCGAGCGTCCCCTGCCCGCTCGGTTCCTAACTAGAAACGGGCTAGTGGGAACCCGTTCTAGAATAAGCGGGGCGAGCTTGACCAAAGGCGTAGGTTCTGGACAAGCTCGTGCTTGTCCTTCCCCTCCGCCGCCGGCCTGCCCTAGTATTTAATGTACAAGTTAGTCTATCATACTACAGTACAGCACGGACCGTACTGTAGAGCTACTGTAGTCAGCGCGGGTCGTCCTGCGCTCCGGTACTGTCGGTCATCGGGGCTGACAGTACATGTGTGGTACACGTATGATACACATGGGGCACACGTGTTTGATCTAATCTAAATCTAGTTCCACGGGATGGGGTTATACTACACTGCCGAGTCTAGGATGAACGTACCCGCCTCGTCTTGGTGGTGGTTGGGTTCGGTGTCGGTGTCGTCCATGTTGAGCTCACTGTAATGCGCGTCGTCTTGTTCGAGGATGGCTCGTGCCTTGGCGGCGGGTCGCTGACGTGCTGGTTTTTGATTCTGCGGATGTGTTTGGTCTCGACATTCGCTGTCCGCGTGTTGCGGGTACCTGACGCCCTTTGAGATGTGATGGCGGCAGGGGTTTGTGTGTCTTGTGGCGGGTCGGTGTATTTGCCGGGGTTGGGGGCGGCGGCCGTGGGTTGGTATGTACGCTCGTGTTCTGGCTGCTGCTTGTGGCCAAGGGTTGCTTGGTTGGATGGCTTGACGGTATGTTTCGATTCGATTGTATTTGTGCACGAAGTCCTTCACGTCTTTGGGTTGCAGTGACAGGAGCTGGAGTCCGATGTCCACTGTTGTTGGGTTGTGTTTGAGGCCTTCGATCATGTAGTCTACTGTTGTGCTCTGTTTGGCGATGTCGGGGTAGCGAGCCGCGATCATTTGCGCCCTAATGGTCTCATGGCGTTGGACGTATTCATAGATTGATTGGCCTGGTTCGATGTGGCACTGTTCCGCTAGTTGTTTTAGGTAGAGGTGGTCACTCGCATTCGTTGTGTCGAGATGGGCTTTGAGCTTCTCGAGGATGTCATGTGGTGTGGGGTTCTCGTCAGGCATAAGAAGGAGGTTGATGATGTCCGCTGGTATTGTGGCTAGCATTTTGCCTAAGAGTTTGTGCTTGGCGTGGAGGTAGGATTTGCGTTCCTGCTCATCGTCTGGGGTGGGCGGGTTGCCCTCGATATGTTCGATTGCATCTTGTGTGTAGGCTGCGGATTTTATGGCCAGGAGCCATGGTCCATAGTTAGATCGGTCGAGCTTGGGGATGTCGTTAATGTCCATGGTGTTGAGCGTGTGAGATCGTTGTTGCCTTGAAGGAGGGATGTAGAGAAGGGCTGCTGAATGCAGGAGGTTGGGTGTTGATGAGGATTCGGAAAGGGGGCGGCGGGGGCGGGTTGTGATGCCTGTCTTTCCGGCTGGTCTGTTTGCAGACGCTCGACGGCTGCGAGTGCGTGTAGCGCGATCCAGTTTGCGTTCAGTTGATGGTGAGTCGTAGTGGTGCGAAGCGGGCCATAACCTGATGAATCGTAATCCTCATGGGGGTGTCTTTACTCGTCGTCGCCGTCTCGTGGGTCTAAGTACCGCTGGTGACAGACTGTAATGCTGACAGTCTGTCCTTGCGGTCCGTCATGCTTCGTAAGCCCTTGCTTTTCTTAAAGTCAAAAATTAAAACGTAAGAGCCAATCATAGCACGCCAAATCACCTCTTTGGGCAAAACGAAGCAAACTGCAGAAAAACGGGGCATGTTAAGACACACCCTCAGGGTGACACACCCTGAGGGTGTGTCTTAAGTTAAGAGTCAGAAAAACGGGGCATGTTAAGACTCTTAACATGCCCCGTTTTTCTGAGTTGGGCGAAGGATGCGGTCCAAAGTGAAAGACGCGAGGCGGCCTTACAATGCAAGACAGACTCGCTTGTGTTTGTCGTTAACGGAGAGGGAGTTTTGTGAACGGTCAGAAGTACAGTAGAGGGTTCGGATTGGCGGGAAAGGGGAAGAAGTTGAAAGTGTACAGTAATTCAAAAAAGGGTTAGCGAGAGAATGAAAAGGAAAGTTTTTTGGCCAGCAATGTTGCCAAATTTGGTATTTTACACCGCTGCTAGACTTGCTCTAAGAGCGGGTCTAGAGCAGTCGGGTACAGTATGGCGGACAAGAGGAGCATGCGGAGCACGCGGTGACCAAGTGGCACTCGTTGATTTGATGGAGAAGCCCACTTTCAGTGTAATATCATCACTTTATTGTTGCTTCCGTTTCCACCACTAAAGTTTACATTCGTTCGGAGCCTCGACGACCGATCGCCCAGGTGTCGCCCGCCCACCTACAGTTGTACAGTAGCAATTTAGCTCACAGTCTCATCCCCACCACCTCGCCTTCGTTTCACTCAGTGCAGACTCTCCCGGAATCTCCCTCACCACCTTTCCCCTCCATGCCCCCGCCTCCCTCCCCCATCCCTCAGTCCTAGTTGCCTACCACACTCGTTCCCGGAATGCCGCACAGCCCGTCGCGCCAAGCAATGGCGCACAGCAAGGGCGCCGTCAACCCGCACCTGCTCGATCACGTTCAAGTCGGCGACGAGGTCCAGGTCTGGTGGCCCCTGGACCGCCTCTACTACTCGGGCCGCGTCGAGGCCGTGCTCAACGGCGGCCGCCATCGCATCGCTTACGAAGACGGCGACGTCGAAGATCTCGTCCTCGCCTCCGAGCAGTGGCGTTTCACTGGCGCCGCCGCCCAACGCGTCTCCACCGCCCTCAGGCTCAACCACCCCGCCCCCAACACCCCTCACACCGAATCGTCCACCGTCACAGACTACTCTCATTCCAACGCGTCTCCTAACAAGCCCACCGCGAACGGCTCCCACAGAAGAAAGTAGACGCCACCGGCTCCACTTACCTCCCAACAATTCTACCCACATCTGTCGACATCCGCACCAAAAGCCTCATTCCTTTACACCCTCGTTGTTGCCCTAATTTCGAGTGGTCTCGCAGAGCCGCCCTTCTCGCTTGCACTCCACGTTCTCACCTTCTTCCCCCACTTTCATATTCAGTCCCTGCCTGTCCTCGTGTGTTGAATCTGGGGTCTCGTGTAATGCTCGACCTCATTTGCATGCATCCCCACTAACTCCTCAGCTCGCTTTGTGTCGCTTGCACTTTGCGTTCTGATCCCTCTGCAGAGTAAACATATTGCTCTACCTCCTGTTTGCCTCACTCCGTATTTCTATTTTCTTCTTCGTTGCCCTCGACGTCGATCCCATTTGCAATCCCATTTGCACAACCCGCACGTAGCGTGGACTTTTCCGCACAAAGCATAACCCTGCACCCAATTCAAGCACCGTCCGCAACGTCAATATCCCGCCTTAGATCACAGAGGCCGTGTGTCCCAACGCAAAAATGTTTTCCTCGATACTTTGTCCCAAGTTTTGTATGCCGCGATTGGGCCCATAGCGACTCGGAATTCAAATCGTGGCAGTGTCGCCCACACTGAGGATACTGTGAATTAAGATTGCAGTCAGATCCCGAGCCTATCCCTTCAGCCTCAGCAGCAGTGCGATAAAACCATCGTTCCCACTATCACACCTCGGTCTCATTTGTGCCCATGGACATGCGAATACTGGGTACCAGTCTCTCTGGATTCCTTCTTTGTTGTGCCCATGCTTGCACGACTTAGTTCATCCTACTGTCATTCAGCGGGCCTCATGCTAATTCGATCCTATGCCATAAGCTCATGAGGCACACCTTTGCGATCGCATCTGTTTCCACATTTCTTCTGACCAGATCTCACCGCATCGGCACAGTGGAGAAGATGATGGGCCATTCTAGTCTAATGATTTGAACACACCTCAAGTTCCTTATGTTCAGGTATGCTCCTCTCATACTTTATTTGTGAGCAGAATCCTTCCGCCGTCCTTCTGGGCATGAGCAGCCGTCTCAGTTCAGAAAGATCGAACTCAGTGCTCCTGTCGCATCGCTAGCAGTTGGTGACACAGCATGGCGTTGACTGAGCACGTGCCAATTTTGGGTGTTTGCGATAATTTCAAGACCTATGAGCTCAGGGCATTCTCTCTGTGATGCATTTTACATACCTTTAGTGAATACTAGCTCTCGTGACGTATGGGGAACTTTGATCGTATGTAGAGCAATTGCATGCGTTCCTGCAGGGGTTGCCCAAGTCCCCGAAGCCTTCCAATACCCTTCCCCTGCTGTCCCGATAGACTGGCTCGTAACTCTAGGTGCTAGCAAACTCTGTGGGCGGCTTTTAGACGTCAGGTCGGTTCTACATCCTGAACAGATCTCACCTCGAGGTGTGGTCAGCATCGCACCACAGCAGATACAATTAAATCGCACCCGAAGAATCCAAGAGCCGACCAGGTATTTTCGTGTCTTCAAAAATACCGGAATCGAATTCTTCCAACCATGTCACCCAGGTCACCATTGGAGAAGCCCTCCTTCGTCTCCACAACCTTACCGTCAATGCTCACCTCGAGCTTCCACTTCGTTCCCCCTTGTCCACAATTCACGTTGTGTCGCGCTTCGGCACGGTATATTCCGTTCTTCACTCCATCTGTTGTTGTGAGGTATCGGGCTGTTTCTCTTCCAAAATCGATAAGCCCACATGCATCACTATTGGCGTCACCATTTATACGCCCTGTTTTCGTCTCTGGCTGAAAGCGTGAAAGAGTGACACCATCTGGTTCGGTAATTTGTATATCGAAGTCATCACCAGAATTCCATGTAAGGTCGACCAGGATCGCGGCAGTTCTGGTTCGGAATGAGACACAATCCCCCTCTGATCCGTTCGTTTTGACAACCCTCTTTACGCGACGACGTCTTCTATCTAAAAGCTCATATTTCACAATTGGGAATATGATGCACGAGTCTTCTAAGAACTTGAATTGATTGCCTTGCAATTCGGATGTGGTAATTGCAGAAGATCGTCTTTGAGGGTTCTTGGACACGCGAAAGGTATTCTTGAGAAAGTTGGGAGAGAGTTTCCGCGGTCGCCATTTCGATATAGTGTTCATGTCTCCATTCTCGAGCGCCAACAATGGCTCTCCAGTTCTAAGAACATATCCGATTTGCTGTCCGGGCTGACAAACTGAACCATAGGAAAGGCGGCCTGGGGGTCTTATTAGCATGTTCGGCCCTCTACGCAAAGGAAGGCCAAACGGATCGCATAGACGAAATTGGCATTGCGCTCCACATGCATTGATTTGGGCCACAACACCTGTGGTCACGAGAAGGGCTGCACCAAAAACACAGCACAACCAACATGGCATTCTTATCATCATTGTGAAGCGAGAGACGGGGGGGGGGGGGGGGGGGAGTGAGTAACCGGCGTCACTTAAGAACGTCCTCT